AGGAATGGACTATCCTCATCATCAGAGTCATTTGACGGGGTTCTGATGGACTCGTCATCATCCGAGCTGCTCTCTGAGTCAGTGACCAAGTCGGGCAGGTCGTCTGAACTGTCTGAGGTGTCAGAGGCACTGCTGTCTGATGCGAGGTCAATGTCCTGGATGGGTCCTACAATGTCATCAGCTGTCCACTCCTTGATGGTAGCATAGACTCCTGGGACTTCTGATGCTGGCATCGACGGCATACTGGGGAGTGGGTCAACAAGCATCTCTGACTTGGGATATCCTGAGGTCGGCGGGAACTCCAGATACGTGCCATCAGGCTTCTCGACGATTGAGATCTTGTGAGCCTGCTGCCAAGGTCGTCCAAGTAGACCGTCAAATGGAGGGTTCTCTGCAATGAAGGCATTGATTGGCGTGCTGATGTGGCCGAGCTTCAGAGGAATGTTCTCGACTAGCCCCAAAAGGTGACCAGTTCCTCCGTTGGCATCCTTCATTGCTATGGCTGCACCCAAGTTGATTGGCCTGCGGACTATGTTCTTGCAGACTGCCTCGCTGATAATGTTGAGCTGAGACCCGGTGTCGACAATGAACGTGACTGGCATGAAGTTGCACTCCATTTGAAGGCGGATCAGGGAACCCGTGCGTGATGTGATCAAGTTTGTCGTTGGGAGGATTGATGCGACCGGGACTGTGTCAACCTTCTTGAGCTTGAGCATGTCAATCAGGCTGCTGGCGACCTCGCGAGAGCATCCTGCAATCTCCCGGACTGGAAGGGTCACAGGTAGATCTAGAAGCTTTTCTGCAATCTTGACAGGGTCAACAGTCTTGCTGACGTCTGATGCACGTGGGGCCCAACGAGGTTTGTCCATGGTGGCTGGCTCCGCAGGGGCTGGCTTCTTCCGCTGAGTCAGAGTGCGGTCGTCGATCATGTCCACATCATTATCAGGGTTGAATGCCATAGGCTGAGTCTCAACTGGCACCAGACGTTGCATGGGAAGGCGATGCACAGCAGTGGCCTTCTGCGAAGTCTCCGTCTTCTTCAGCTTATCCTTGGGGTTCTCCTTTCCTTTCGAAGGGACGCCTACGCCGTCAAAGGTCTCCTTGCGGTAAGGCCTGGTGATACGTTGGGCTCTCTCCACTGGATAGACCATGACGTCGGCCTGCTCCGGATCCTCGTCTTCATTGTCCACATCCTGTGCTGGTCCATCATAGGCTATGAAGTTCACCTTGGGAAGGGTGCGTTCAATTGCCTGGACGATATTCTCGCCCTCCTGCCGTCTGATGACTCGACCATCCTTGTCCGTGACACGCCCCCGATAGTCTTTCAGAACCTGGCCCTTTGAGATGTATTTCTGGATCTCAGGGCAGTTGTTCATGACATGGCCTGGCTGACCACATCCGAAGCATCCTTGGGTTCCTGACTGAAGTGGTGGTAGTGAGGGTCGCATTTGCGGCTGGTTCATGTTGGATCTGCCCATGTGTGGTGGCAAATCACGAGTGACGTTCTGGCTGAACTGCGGTGGGGGCCTGAGGATAGGCTGGTAGAAACAGTTCTGCACGTTGGGGTCAATGCGGCAGGCTTTGAGGTACGCAGCACCATACAGCGGGTCGTCCAATCGGAGGGTGTGAAGCTGTTGGATCAGGCCATCGAGTTCCACATCCTCAGGCTTGCGGGATGGGGTAGGCACTGGGGTGGGCTTTGGCTTCTCCTCCTTGACTTTCTCCTGCTGCTGGATGTACTTGCGGACTTGTTTCTTCTTCGTCTCCTTCAACTCCTGCTCCGGGTCCTCCGTGTCGCTGTCATCTTCTTCGTCAAAGCGCGCAACCTTGCGGTTTGGCACTGGTGAGTCTCTCTCTGCTCTTCCCCGTCCAATCCCGGTGATCTCCTCAAAGTAGTCATCATCTTCATCATCTGATTGGTCAAGGTAGGTGTTGTCAGAGCCCAGTCGCTCCGTGTCGAACCGGTCAACACTAAGAAGGGCTTTTGCTGCCTTCTCAATAGCCTTGGGCGTGAAGGGCGTAGACATGTCGTGCTCTGGATCCTCAAGCAGAATCCGGGCTTCCAGTCGCTTGCGGAAGGTGCGGTGAAGACCCATCCAGAGATAGTAGGCATACTCTCCTTCTGAGATCTTCTTCTTTCCCTTGAGCCAGCCCGCGATGCGGACAAAGTTGCGCAG